ACATTTAAAGACAAAACAAACAGTTCTCTGTCCCAGAGATCAAATCAGAGTGGGTAGAGCATGCTGGTAACCAACTCCTACCTGACAAGTGTAGTCCAACAAGATACTACTGAACTGCAGCTAATGTTAGTCAGGGTGACGAATCTAAATCCATTATCGTTATAAGTATCCATGCACATTACCCAGAAAATTCTTTCCATTATTAGCAAACTGGGTATCCTGGTTTGCACTAGTATTGCAATCCTGAAATGGGAAATGGAAATCATCATTGCATTTCTCTTTAGGCCTATTTCTACCTGAGGCAGGGTCACTTATTAATGCTGAATCTTGGCTGTAATGCAGCTTCCAGAGCAAAGTCAAGCTGTGGGGCCTGACTGATTGTACTTAAATGAAAACTGCTGCATAAGCAACTTCCAAGAGAGGGTTGGAAGAGCTCTGAAATCTGTCTGGCTCATTTTAAAAAGAAGCAAAGCCTAAAAAATGATTAAAAAAGAAATCCATAAAATCTGTGTGTCCAGGGTTCAACAAGCAAGGCGAATGTTAGTGTCAACTTTAATTGTCAATGTGAATGGCACATAATGGCACATAAAACAACTTCATTATTCTTAGCCCACCTCTATTTTAATCATTCTTAATGTATATCACAGTGGGCCAAATTCAGTGTGTTCTGACTGTGACTATTGATATGGGCCTTGGTTTTTGTTTGTTTGGTTGGTTGGTTGGTTGGTTGGTTGTTTTTTTTTACTAACATCCAGTCATTCAAAAAAAGGGCCCAATTCAACTTGGTGGGATTAGTTGTCAAGAACAGCCAAGATCTATCTAATTTTAACTGAAAAAGACACTGAATGGTGGGACCACTTTGCTTTCAAGAGCAATTCCCCTGAATTGTTCCAGTCTTGCCAGACCCATTCAGTTTAGATGTCTGACTCAAAAGAACTAGACCCCACTATAGATTAGCCTGGTGTTCCCCTTTCTTCAAACATGTTGAGAGGATCAGGCTGGCTCTGAAGAACCAATCCAGCCAGCAGATACGGATCTGAAAGACGGGAGTTTATTTCCTCCTACTGTTTTAAGTAGAAAAGAGGCAAATCTTAGCTGTGCTTTTAATTATGGTCAATTTAAAGAATATTAATTAGGTGATTTCCAAGCCAGAGACTGAAAATAACACCAGCACTCAGTGGTGCAAGCTTTATGCTTTCCTGTGCATCAACAAATTGTTTCTAAGAACTAATTCAACAGAGCAGAACTATGGACCCAATTCTGTGAGGTGCTGTTTATTCTCTACCACCACTGGACCAATAACCTACCCAGGTATAGCCAATCTTATGTTCATGGTTTCTCCCAGTTGGATGATCAGAGATACTTTGTTTAGTTTATTTCTTAGTTTTATATAGATGACCCATGTCCCAGTTTTCTAATACCCACACACAATCATAGTGTTCACCCCCAATAGGTAAATTATGGCCGAAATATGAAGTTCAAGGCTTTGATTCTCTGAATCCTGGGAACAAATAATCAGCAGTCACCCTCTCCCAATTCAAAACTCTGGGTTTTGCCATAACTGGAGGTGAGGAATTTGCATTAACCTTTCCGTAGGCTTTTTCCAGATCTACTTCACATGTGTTGCCCCACAAAAAAGTCCATTCTTGTTTGGTGCAATTTCATTATATTAAACTCCCTGCTTTGTGTCATATCCTCCTCCAGAAGAGGTTACATACAATTCCGGCCCACAGGATTACATAAACTTTGCATTTAACACAAGAAGAGTTTCTGAGGATATGGCAGGAAATTGATATATATATCACAGCATCACCCTGGATACAGGAGATCCAGACTGAAAGGGTTGTGCATTATGGGCACAGGAAGTCAGGGTGGATCTGAGATAAAGCTACGTCCAGACTGAATCACTGTTTCAGGTTACCGGAAGTATCCTGAAATAGCAATGCTGCATCTAAGGAACATGTCCACTATTTCAGAAAAATTTCCAAAAGAATGGATGCACTCTTTTGCCATCCCTGTAAATCTCATTCTACAAGAAATAAGGGATGGCTTGAAAGAGCACTTTTTTCCAAAATTTGGTGCCAGGTAGATGTGCCAAATGTCAAAAAATCCTCTTTCGAAATTAAATAGAAAAAAAGATGTGCAATTTGCATAGCGCAAATTGCGTATCTTTTTCTGATTTAAGAGTGCGGTCTAGATGTAGCCAAAAGAACTAAATCAAAATGATTGTATGTGTGGGCAAGAAAAGTAAGAGAAATAAAAAGCAATAAGTAGGAGGAAAATGGAGTGGACTGGAAATTTTCAAACAGGTAACTTAGGAAATCTGGGCCTATAGTGGCCTCATGGAAGATATAGAACCATGACTGATTCAACCAGGGGTTATGAAGATCCAAGTGGGTTTTGTTAACAGTGATGGGAGTGATTTGAAACAGCAGTAGCAAGGGAGAGGAGATTCACCACCACCACTGGAGCAAGAGCTTCAACTTGGTACACAGATTCCATTTGCACAGCTGCTACTGATATTGTTCTCCCTGTTTACAAATAGAAGGTGTCTGCAAACTGAAATTAGAGTTTTAAAGCCACCTTAGAGTATCTGATTATGCTGTATAATTAGTTATAGATGCCACGCCAAGACAAATTCTTTGTTTCCTTACAGTTGGCATACATTGGGTACCTGATGCTGTTCAACTACATTGTGCTAGTGAAGATGGATCGTTGGCCTTCTACACAAGAATGGATAGTTATCTCCTATATTTTCACATTGGGAATAGAGAAGATGAGAGAGGTAATACTATCCTGGATGAGCCAGAAACAAAAGAGAAATACATGTACCTTTCACAATTTTTTTTTGTTTTAATTTTTTTCTGAATTTTTGGTTGTAGGTAGACTTACCACAAAATTCCTTTTTTCCAGTAAAACAGAAGGGATGTTGGAATTTCTATTGCTATATTTCTCAATTTTACTGTTTTTAAAAGTAACCATCTGTTCTACACTCATACAACTCCAGTGTTTGGATTTCCATAAGTCTAATGAAACTGTCAGAGGCTGTTATCTTCTAACATAGCCCCCCTTTCCATGGTATTTCTTAGTGCTCTTCACACTGTTTCTCATAGGTCTGGCCACTGCAGTAGAACTGTGCGGCTTGTTTACTTTTTGGTGTATGCAGAAGAGGCTAGAGATAGGATTTTTCAACCAGAGCCTCACCTATACAGGCAGTCCCCGGGTTACATCAATTTGACTTACGTTGAATCCCTATTTACAAACGGGGGGGGGGGGGGCGCTTGGGG